AGCTTTTCATTGGTACTTTGAATCTTCGAGCTTACAAATGTATAGCTGAGTTTACTATCCTTCCCAATTTGCTAGACAATTTAGGCTTACTCAATGAATCCATGTCCCTCTCTGTAACCTTTCCAATACCAATCTCACAGTTAGAGACTTGAAGGTACCCAAAAACAAATTGAAAGAAGCAACATTCAAATTGCTACAAGAGTTAAGCGAGTTTCAATTCACCTCCTTTACTCCACATGGCAGAGCTTTGAAAACATTTCAAAATTGGTGGACAGCCAATATGGAGGTGCTCCTGGCAATACCTCCCAAAGATCTACTAGTGGGACTAGATGTGCCCACTCAAGCCAAACCCAAAAAGACTTGGACAACTATTACAGTCTCTGCTGCCCCTGCTATCCAAGCTCTTGCTCCTATTGTCACAGAGACTACTCTTGCTGCCTCTCCTCCTTTTCCTAGAGTCATCAGGCTTGCTTCGAAGAGAGGCACGCATTTCTATTTTTTCCTTTCTTTTCTCTTTATGATGTTTATAATGCCTTGTTCATCTACTTTATGGCTTTTTTTTTTAATGTAGGACCTTCACAAATAGAATCTCCTCAGAGAGTTCAGGCTTTGAATGTCCTCAAAGGCAAACGACAACAACAGAGGAAAAGAAGACTTTTGCTTGATCCTAAGGAGGAGACACCTAAAACTCACTTGGAAGATGAAGAAACAGAAAAAGAGAAAGAGATACCATTGAAAAGAAGGAAGAAAATAACAGTTTCTCCCTCTAATCTTATCGGGGACTTTACTCATGAAGCAGCTGCCAAAGTAGTGGAAGGGGAGCACTCCAAAGAAATCATTGTATTTCAGAGGTCTGAGAAAAGGTGACAGTAGTAAGTACTAATGGATGAAGCTGCTGCTGCTAATGCACTCCAAAGAAAAGCTGCAAGAAGGAAACAAACTGCCGAACATTATGCCATTCGCAGTTCTCCAACCATTGCTACCACTTCTGAAACTTGTAATTTCCTTTTATGTCTCTAGTAACTTCCCTTCCCAAGTTTTCAGTAATGAAACTTAACATTGTTTCATATTTCTTATTTTGCAGCAACAGCTATTCTACCTCCTCCTTCGATAAAGATTTCTTCAGTCTTATCTAAAGTTGAAAGACAATTAGAGGCACCCTCAAAAAGGAGGAAAAAAAATCGACACTAAAGTGCCTTTAAGTTTAGAGCCAATCCAGACAATACTTCTACTTCCTGGTTCTACACTTTTCATACATTTTTTAAGGCAAAGCATTCCTATATCTTTATCCTTTAGCTTAACTCCATATCTTCCTCATCTAACCTTTACCTCAGCCCAATTTACTTTCCCTGCAATCCTAGCTACTCTCCTTCCCTACCTAAGGAGATCCCATTTATCACTTCATCTTCACTGATAGCTAATACTCCCAGAGAAGATACTGGTAGCTCACCAATTCTTTGTCCGCCATCACTATTTAGTAAAGATTCCTATCATTTGTGTAACCAATAAAAGTCTATCTCCCACTCTCTTAGACTCATAAATTAAAAAAGTAAAATATAGTTAACATCAAATATTCTTATGAATAATTTCATTCGATAGATTAATTTCATTAAATTTAACTTATAGGAAATTTTTGAAATTTTTTCATACATTTATATTTTTAACTAAAATTGAAGTTTGTTGACATGGCACGTGAATAAGACATGATAATATGAAATAATAAATGGATTGAATTAGAGCATCTCCAATCCTTTACCAAATCTTGTATCAAATTTAAATTTGATAAAAAATAAAAAATAAAAAATTGGTAAAAAAGAGTTCCAATCCTTTCATCAAATTTGTATTATTTCACCTCCAATAAATTCTATTTCAATATGTTCTTGGTCCTAAAAAAAGAAGAAAACAAAACAAAACAAAAATAACCTAATTATAATTTTTTACCTTAGGCCACACAAGTAGTTGAGCCGACCCTAAGGAGATCAACTCTATAATTGTAAAATCACAAGGTTTCTTAAAACTAATTTTCAGCTAAACATCTCAACATTCCTTCTCCAATAATAAGTCAACTGCCTTACTAAAATAAAGCCAACTTTATTCCAAATTTAACCTGAAGTTTAACAAAGCGGTTTTTTACACATCAACAAAACTAAAATTAGGATTGAAAAGTAAATTTTGTGACCAGACATTAATATGAAAATTAGTTGTGTCAAAATATCTTATTAACCATTAGAATGGAATTGGCACAATTTAGTCGCAAATAGTCTGTAGATGAAAAATCCGATATTATCTAACCCGATCAATCATTCCCATGACCTATCCCAACTCGCTTGAATGCCTTGCCTGTTCCAACATATAGAAGATGATTTAGAGTTTTGAACAAGGATTTATAACCTAAGTCGCCCATAAGCCCTTCTCGTAAGAGCCTGCATGGGTAAGTCTAATGTTTAGCTTTATTTTTTTAGTCTAATATTTAAAGGTTTTTTCTCCCTCCACTTGTAAGTATTATATGTTACTTGATTGTTTTTTATTATATAAGATGTAAAATAAATTAAATAAAAAATAAAAAATAAAAAAATTTCTCAAAATACTTGAATTATGTTAAAAAGTAAACAAGAAAAATAACTAATGAAAATATTAAATATATGTTAATGAAAGATATGTAAAATTTAATAATGGTTTGATTATGACCCGTAAGATTTAGGCTTATGGATTGGATGTGATACAATTTTTTCAATAGGTCTGATCCGTACTAACCCGTTTGACCAATCAAAATCTAAAAAATCTATTAAAATATGAGATTTATACACAATAATTATGGACTAAGTAAATCCAACCAGTCTCATTAATGATCCCTAACAAAATTGATGGACTAATGGAGTTCCTCAAATAGATATAAAGTAATGTTAGGGATATCAAAATTTCTATCAAATATTTTATTAAATGTCTCACGGATTTGGGGTGGCTGCTGTGCGGAGGTGCACAGCAGCCACTGTTGTGCAGCTAAATGGGCTCATTTCGGGGCTCATTTTGATAATTTGAACCATTCACATTTTATAATACATCAAGCGGAACATACTTGCAAAAAATTAATTAATCGGATATCGTTTACCCTTTCATCCACGTACATTTGTATTTACAAAAATAAATAATAATTGTGATTTAAATTATAAACTTTTTTCATAAATTTTAAAAAAATTTATCAAATCACCACTAAATACCATTCAATAATAATTTCTCCGAAAAATAATAGCCAAGTGGTTTGGGAATGACTAGCCTAGTTGGCCACCATGCTTTCCTTAGGGTTTAGTCCCAAGGAGGTTATGGATTCAATTCCCCTTAGAGGAGTTGAATTAAGGGAGTACAAGCACTTATGTGCTTTGCCAAGAGTGGGGAGATTTTCTCTCATAGGTGCTAATCTAACAACTAACAACTAATATTTGCTGATAAAAAAAAAAAAAAAAAAGGTTTGGGAATGAAAGAAAGTACAGGAATAGTAGATACCATATGAGCATGTATACTGTACACACTGTTGATTACTGTTGTTCGGTTGTGGGAGTTCCCAAGCCAAGTCATGAATAACACTAGAGACTGTTTACATTAAAACAAATAAATTACAACTCATAATTAAGACATTTTCTAGGCATTCTTACGTCATGGAATCTTATTTTGGAAGGGAAGAAAATTGAAAACAAAATTAATTCAAGAATGAAATAGTAAAAGGTGTTATACGTATTATAGTTTTAAATAATGGTATCAAGATACTTATCAATATTGGCTATACAATTATATGTCAACCAATATCAGATAGTATGTACCAATATTTAAAGTCATAACTCACATTGGATTTCAGTTTGAGGTAATCAATGATCTCCAAATATGAAGTTAGAGACTGTAAAAATTCACTGCATCTGTTGCACCAATCACATGGTAACCAAGCCATGTGACCCGATTACTAGTATTGGACCCCGGTACGTAGTTATTATACTCTGCATAGTATGATGTGTTCAATGCAAAATCGCCAGACCACGGGGCCCACCCAGCAGGATTAATCAAGCTATCCATGAAGGATTGCATATAAACTACCGTCGAGTAAAGCTTCCATGGCCTGCCTAGGAAAGTCTGCGTCGTGCCATTGCTCGATGCCAAGTCCTGGGCAGCAGTAATGCTACAATTATGAATTGAAGTCCCGGTGTTTTGATTTATATCGGTCTTACTTTGCGCGGTGATTGTATTAGACTGGCCTAGCAAGGGAAGCCGCGGATATAAATTGCAATCCTGAAGACATCGCATTGTCGGTAGAATTGCCGGAGGGAATGGGTGTAGAGGGTGTCTTGGTATCCTTCGAAACTGCAGTTGTAGAAAGTGGACAAGTCGGCGTCGTTTCGAAACGCCACTGCTTGGAACTTTTGCGGTCCGGCGGTGTTGCGGATGGTTAGGTTTAGGGCCCCAAATCCTTGGCCTTCCACAACTGCAAGAAGGTGTTTTTATTAAGAATGTTAGGTTTAGATGGTTTTGAAATGCTATGCATGTATATATGAAGTTTATATATGGTATACACTACAACATATAAGACTTTTGGCGATCAATTATTTTGGTCCCTAAAACTACTATTTTAGTCTCTAAATGGTTTTTGTGACAAAATTAATTCGTCACTAAAAAAGTCACTAAAAGTGCGTCTAGAAAAATCTTTAGCGACCAATTTTTGAAAATGTCCCCAAAAATGACAATTAGCGACCAATTTTATATTGTCACAAAATGTTTGATTTTACAAGACTAAACATTTGGTCGCTAATACTTCGTCATAAAATGTCCCAATTTGGTCACAAAAAACAAAATAATGACACTTTTAATGACTGATATTTGGTCGCTAAAAGACATAACTTTCTCTACGACACATTTTCGTCGCTAAAAATCAAAGTTAAATTTTGTAATCATCTAATCTCATAAGCTAAAATGCACAAAATATAAATGTCATCCAATCATATTAAAAAAAAAAAAAATTGACATTCACATATCAAACCCACTCTATTCCCAAATCATAGTGAGTATATAGAAAGTAAATTTGACAAAAATTAAAACTGAAAGTTTCCAAATTCAAATCGAAGTAGTAACAGTTCAAATGAAGCATAGCAACAATAGTTTCTTCAAAGAAAATATCTAAAAAAGCATTTTCTCATCATCAATATCAGGCTTTATATCAGACAGGCTTGGCACAAGAGGCTTCAAGCTATACTTAAGTGTGACACCCTTTGGACATTCCTGCAACCCAAAATTCAAAAAGAAGAATAAAATAATAAGAATCAACACAACATAACCTCATTAAATAATCAATAGTCATTCATAATCAAATAAGTTACAAATAATGAAAAAACGCATTATCTCAATGTACTTCAAGTATTAGTGAGCTATAATCAACACAACAAGAAAGTGAGTCACCTAGAATCAACACAATAAGGTTATCATAATCCAAGCACGTTATCATAATCAAATGTTCTAAATAACAAACACACTAAATTTATAACTATGACTCAAATTCGGTGGTGATAGATGCTTGACGAGTTCTATCAATGACAGTAATAAGGTAGATCAGATAGACAAAAAAATAAAAACAAACTTAAATGTATGAGCAACAAACATAGAATAATCCAAAACTCAGAGAGAGAGAGACCTGTTATAATAAGTGTGAGGCGATCAAGCATCTCGCCAGCATTTTTGCTGGAATTTATCCATGGCAGACATCCTTGCTCCTTGCTCACTGCAAGTGTTCTCCAAAATTGCATTGAACATAACCTGTGAAAATTGTCAAATTTTGTTTCCCATTAAACAAAGCTTGGAATTGATAAATCTAACTACAAACATCTTTTAGCTGCATGAAATGTCAGTACAAGCCCAATTCCACAATCATTAAAAACGTAAAACGGAGAGTCTACTTCCAATGATTAATTGTCCATATATGTACTTAATTGTTATATGAACCACACAAACTTGAGAATTGAGTTAAATTGCACTAACACCCAATAAAATCACATTTTAGTAAAAGAAAAAGGATTAAAGATCTAAAATAAAAATATTAGAGTACAACTTAAATAACAACTCCTATGATTTCCTTTTAAGAACACAACCACCTCTTGTTATTTCCTTCAATCTTTTGAGTGCAATGCCAGCAGCATCCAGGTTTTCTGACGGGTGAGACAGCCCCCAGCAAACCGAAGATTGCATTGATGTGAATGGTGGAAAAGCCTTATTACCAGAACACAGTTTGGATAGGAGCAGATGCTGCTTTTGGTCACATTACATTAGGAGGCATGCATCAGAACATCCAGTATTTCCCTCATCTGCACCACCAGATTATAAAGTTGTTAAATCTAGAAAACCCATGTGATATTCTCCAACCAGAGGAAGTGAGCAACAAGTGACCAAGGAAGCACTTGGAGACTATTCAAAGTAGAAAATATAAACTAGAAAACCCATGTGATATTCTTCAACCAGAGGAAGTGAGCAACAAGTGACCAAGGAAGCACTTGGAGACTATTCAAAGTAGAAAATATAAACTAGAAAACCCATGTGATATTCTTCAACCAGAGGAAGTGAGCAACAAGTGACCAAGGAAGCACTTGGAGACTATTCAAAGTAGAAAATATAAACTAGAAAACCCATGTGATATTCTTCAACCAGAGGAAGTGAGCAACAAGTGACCAAGGAAGCACTTGGAGACTATTCAAAGTAGAAAATATAAACTAGAAAACCCATGTGATATTCTTCAACCAGAGGAAGTGAGCAACAAGTGACCAAGGAAGCACTTGGAGACTATTCAAAGTAGAAAATATAAACTAGAAAACCCATGTGATATTCTTCAACCAGAGGAAGTGAGCAACAAGTGACCAAGGAAGCACTTGGAGACTATTCAAAGTAGAAAATATAAACTAGAAAACCCATGTGATATTCTTCAACCAGAGGAAGTGAGCAACAAGTGACCAAGGAAGCACTTGGAGACTATTCAAAGTAGAAAATATGAACTAGAAAACCCATGTGATATTCTTCAACCAGAGGAAGTGAGCAACAAGTGACCAAGGAAGCACTTGGAGACTATTCAAAGTAGAAAATATAAAATTGAAAATGTTGTTGATATGGTAAAACTCAACACGTGTAGAGCCAAGAGCAATGAGGCACAATCCAAGCACAACCTCCAGAAGGGCCCTAACTTTTAAGGTGTAATATAGAAAATTGCAAAAAAGTTGTAGTACCAGAATTAAAATTTAACAATTTTCATTTAAGAAATGCTTCAAAAACTTCTACACGTGGTGTGGAAATAACTGACCCCTTGTGGTATTAATTTTTTGTACTGCAAGACTGAAAGATCGAATCTTTGAACCAAAAGGAAAAGAAACTCAAACAATTAGCTACAAGATGCTGACAAAAAATTTGGAAAAATATAGGAAGCTGGATCTTTTTTTAAATACTTTAAAAGCTTTGACATGTGCCTCTAAAACGTTAACCCCTTGCCTCTGCAACCACTAGAAGGTCAAAAGATTGATATTTTGTTTGAACCCAAGAATAGACTCTGGGCAAGTGAGAAGCATTAAAATTTGACATCAGGGTTTTAACTTCTATAATCTTGTGATTAAGCTTTTTCTTTAAAAGTTGAAATGCATATTTAAATAAATCTCCATACCTGCGTAGATTTCTGTTGCTGAGTCTGTCCATTCTTTGACCCACAATTTACAACGGATGAACATTAATTTATGAATATGACAATCATCACCTTTTCTATGATAGCATCCATCACAAGCATCAAACCTTGGACAGATCTCACAGTGCCATCCCTGATTCACCACAATATCCTGATGGCAAATGCAGCAGCTGGTCCCAACACTTTGCTTGGTTGGATTATGGAGATAATAAAGGATCATCATTGAGAAATGCTTGACATGGCGAAGGGTATCAAACTGATAATGATTTCCTTGACAGAAGCTTAAGAAGGAGTGCCGATTCTCAAAGTAACCATTATCTATAATAACATCTGTATCCTTTGTATTAATAGGCACATCCTTCACTACAACCTGAAGAGCATAGGAGCATATATGTAAAAGCAAAATCTAACTGAACAAGACCATGTACCAAAAGTGCTTTATTAACTAGAGTATGCATGGAAATTTTTTTGTACAAAAACACTCATAACTACAAAAGTTTCTTCCTCTCTAAACATTATTTAATACTTTCATATATGCCATGGTATTATATTTTTGACTAATAAAAATCTGTATCACACTAATTGGGTTATTTTTTATCTCCTAACTAATCAGCAGTCGGCATGTCAAATCTGTAAAATTTTCTATTATGATAATATTGTAAAAGTGTGGAAGCTTTCTAATGGAGTTTGGAAGATGGATTGCTTCCCTACTCTTCAAATCCATACTGATTGGGTTAGGGATGTTGCTTGGGCACCTAACTTAGGACTCCCTAAATCCACAATTGCAAGTGCTTCACAGGATGGGAGAGTCATTGTGTGGACTGTGGCGAAGGAAGGGGATCAATGGGATGGTAAGGTTTTGAAGGATTTTCAGACCCCTGTTTGGAGGGTCTCTTCGTCGCTCACTGGAAACATACTGGCCGTGGCTGATGGGAAAAACAATGTAACATTGTGGAAAGAAGAAATAGATGGAGAATGGCAATAGGTGACAACAGTTGAGCCGTAAAGCTCAAGCCCTCACCCCTTTTTTCTCCTGATTATAGTTCAATACTTTGCTTGAAATTGAGGGTCCTAAGATAGTCAAAACTTTTAGTCTTTCTAAGAAGTCAGTTGCATGATATGAAGGTTTATAAATAATTTTTCCCTGATAATTACTGCTCGCCTGAATGTTTACAATATACTTCTCAATATCTGGTTTAAAGATTTGTTTGCCAGGTTGTCTGCTCATGACAACCTAAAATCATGTGCATTTTACATTGAATGTGGATAAAGTTTCTGCAATGTGAAGGTGTACCCGAAAATTGCTAATCTGAAGAAGCTTTTAAATAATGGTGGTATTTGCAATGAGAATTTTTTGAGGGAAATATACTGGATAATGTAGCAAGTATACGTAATTGTGTCTCGTAGTGCAAGGAGATATTTTAAGCGCTGATAATCTTATTTATCAAGTTCTGATTTCTTAAATGATCTGTGTGTTTGGAACAATAATCTATTATAATGCAATTCTGTTTGAGGCGTAGATTTCATTATTGATTTATAACAAAAATGAAAAAAATAATCAGAGAATAGATGATATTCTTGTGTCCTTTTTCTCTTACGCATCCCCAATTCTTCATTTCCAACACGCATTAGATTAGACATACATATATACACACACACAAGTTCAATCTATGTAAACAATTGTTCAATTCCAACAAGCATTAAGATAAGAAACAAGTTCAGTCTCTGCAAAACACAGATTGAAACACAATAAGAAACTGAAAATACAACAAACAGGTCGATTACGGAGATCGGAGATCGATTACGATAAACAGTGATTGAAACACGATAAGAAATAAAGTAAGACATAGATTGAAACACGATAAGAAATTGAAAATACAATAAACAGTTCAATCTATGTAAAACACAGATCGATAACGATAAGAAATTGAAAGTTCGAATTGGAGCTCTTACAGGTCGATTTCGGAGGTCGATTTCGGAGATCGATTACGGAGAGAGAGAGAGAGAGACGCACCAAAATTTGAAGATTGAGCTCCCAATCTGCCTTGGAGCTCCCGACTTTAGGGCTGAAGATTGAGCAAACCGAGGTACGAGAGATTGAAGATTGACAATTGAAGATTGAGCTCAATCTTCAATTGTTAATTGAAAAACGACTATTAATCTTCAAATGTGGAGCTCAATTTGCCTTGGAGCTCTTACAGGAATGAAGATCGATTACGGAGGGAGGGAGAGAGAGAATGAGCAAGTTAGGGCTGAAGTGAAGAATGAGGTCCTGATTTTTCAATTGTTAAAATGATGAAAGTAATTGCTCTCAAATTGTTGTTAATTGATTTGGCGAAAATATTTGGTCCCTAATTAAAAAAATTATGTCAATATTAAGTGAGAATATTAATAATCATTTTTACAATCTTGTAAGTAAATTATCATAGGTTTAAATTTGTCCTAAAAGATTATTTTTAGCGACCAAATTTAATTAGTCTCTAAATATTTGTCCCTAAAAGACTAATTTCTTGTAGTGATAGATTTTTATTTTTATTTTTATTATTTTTATTTTTATTTTTTTTTTGTGGATAACAATTTTTTCATAAGAAAATAAAATTTATAGACTAGATTTATTCAAAGTATTATTTACATTGTATCAAATTTAAATATATATTATATACTTTATTTTTAGGACACTTTTTTATTTACTCTTTTGACTACCTAGTTTTTTTTATTATTAATTGATTCAATTTTATTTTTAAAATAATAGAACTCAATCCTATCACATAATTATAAAAAATTATGTATAAATTTTATGTTTATATAATATTACTCTGTTTAAAAAATATTACTCTGCTTAAATAGTTACTTAAAGCAAGATAAATTTCATGTAGAAATTTTGTACAGAGCATGTTAAGTTTTGAAAAATTATAAACGAAGTTGTAATGTTTTAGTGACTAATGTTTCAAATTTATTGCACATGGATATGATTAATTGCATGTGGGTATTACTTATTGCATTGCTTAAATTTGCTAATTTTATACCTCCTATATTTGCTTTTGAGATGAAACTCATATTAATTAATATAATTAATTGCATTTGCATTGCTTAAAAGAGCCTACAAAATACAATAAAATAAAAATTTACCAAATGTTGCAGAATTGAAAGTTGTCCACCCATCCGCCACGCTATGGTTACCGGTGATGGTAGTCTGGTTAATCCCATCTCCGATCATCATCAAGTAAGTTTGGTGCTTTGTAATCGTAACATACTCTTGGTAAACTCCGGCCACCACATAAATCACGAAATAGCCATTGCTACCGTTGCTATAAGTAGGCGCTACCGCCACCGCAGCAGTGATATTGGTGAAGGTCCAACTACCATCCTGGTTCACCACCACCATTTGGCTCACATTCACCCCTCTAGCACCACCACCAAAAAATAGTTGTGTCAGCAGCCCCCGCGCCCATGTCTGGCCTCATTGTGGGCCCAACCTTGCTTGAAAAGAGCTAGCGACACGCTATTCATCATGTTTCCATTGTTTAACGGAGTTAGAAGGGCATTTTGAATGGCTGAAGAAGGCAAAGTCGCAACTTGAAGCCCGTCTAAGCAAGTTTGTTGGTTGGTCAAGACAGCACTTAGTAAAGTATGTGTGTCATCAGCTTGTAAACTTTGAAGGGTGTCTGTAAAACCAATGGATTGGCTGGCATTGGACAAGAAATCTAGGTTTAAGCTGATGAGGTGTTGGCAATCCTGGAGAGCACGAATGGCGGTTTGAGACAATGTATTTTGGTTACTAAGGTAACTATTGATCAAAGAGAGAAGATTTTGAGTTGTTGCTAAGGACCGGCGGATGGAAAAACGGCCATAGTCATGTATGGTACTGCCAGGTTGGTTACCCGGCAACATGGATTTGCAAACGGAACGGAAAGGAGTTGACCTACACACCGTATCGGGTGAGGAAGTTGTTGAGGGGATTGCGACGGAGAGATGGAAGATGAGAGAGAGAGAAAATGCAAGTAGAGGAATGCATGGATGCCATGTTTGTTTGTGACGCTTAAGATTTGTAGGTAATAATGTGATGTGAGATGGTCTATATATAGTATTACTTGTGGAAACAATTTGAAATTAAATATTGTCAAAATCGACTCTTTTGTCTGACAAAAAAACTTATTGAATTTGATTTGCAAGTCTGTCTCTCAAGAAAATTTTGGGATAAGTAATTTTTGTTAAAATAGTCAATAAAAATAAAAAATAATTAAATTGTCAACAAAATAAAATGTTAAATTCAAAACATAATTATTTTATTTTTTTTCTCACAACTATCAAATTAAGTACAAAAACAAAAGAAGTCAACTATTATGTCAAACACTACTTTTTTAACCAAGTTAAAATAACATTAAAAAGTCAAATAAAATAACCAAGTTTCTAAACAAGCCCTAAGATTTTGAAATTAATCCATTAATTGTCAGTTTAGAGCTAAACCTTATCAGCCCTTTCACCATACCCCATAATTCTGGGATATTTCAGATCTTATTAGTTGTCCATAATTGTTGTAACAGAAGGTTTATTCTTATATCAGGTAAATTGCTAAATTCTTTTTATTGCAATATTCTGAATGTGTATGCTCCAAATGAGGCGAGTAGTAGAGGTAAATTCTGGGACACTTTAATCAAACTAAAATCTGAATTTCCAAATCCATGGTGTGTGGGGGGAGACTTAAATGAGATTAGAAATATTGGTGAGAGGGTGGGTTGCTCCAGAAGAGATAAGGGGATGATGAATCTAAACTCTTTTATTGAGAGTTGTGAGTTGAATGATTTGCCTCTGTTAGGCAGGAAGTTCACATGGTCAAATGCACAAGATGGGGAAAAATAGAGTAGAATAGATCGTTTTTTGCTTAATTTGGAATGGCTTCTGAAGTTTAATTTTAAAGAGTGGGGTCTTCCTAGGTTGTTTTCTGATCACTGTCCTATATTGCTGATGGATGATGAGAGGGACTGGGGACCTAAGCCTTTTAGGTTCATTAATGCGTGGTCTAGTCATCCAAGCTTTTCCTCATTTGTGGCAAAGGTTTGGTATGAATCCAGGAGTATTGGGAAAGCAGGACATGTGCTGTTCCAGAAGCTAAAAATGCTGAAAGTGGAGTTGAAAAATGGAACATTGAAGTTTTTGGAAATTTAGCAACAAAACTCAAGAAGGCTGAAGAGGAGTTGGTACAGCTAGATATCTTGGCTGAAAATAGAGTTCTAGTTGTGGCTGAGAAGGCTAGAAAAAGACAAGTGAGGGGTGAAGTTTGGAAGCTTAGTAAAATGGTAGAGTGGCTGTGGCAACAGAAATCTTATGAATACGAAGTTCTTTCATATTATAGCCAGTAGCAGAAGGAGCAGAAATTCAATTAATTCCATCACAGTTAAAGGTGAGATAATTGAGGAGCCAGCTAAGTTAAGATATGAGGTGTTACAACACTTTAAGAGGCTGTATTCAGAAAGTTGGGCCAGAAGACTAGTTCTAGATTGTGTTTTTAAATCAATTCAAGATAGCTCTACTTATCATGATCTTGAAGCTGCTTTCTCTGAAGCTGAAGTAAGGGCAGCAGTTATGGATTGTAATGGCGATAAGGCTCCAGACCCTGATGGGTTTAATCTTCTATTTTTTCAAAAATGTTGGAAGTTAGTTCATCAGGAGGTTTTGTTGTTTCTAAGGGATTTCCATGCTAGTAGCAAACTTTCTTATGGGATTAACAGCTCCTTTATCACTCTTATTCCTAAAACTGATAATCCTATTGGGTTGTCAGATTTTAGACCCATTAGCTTGGTGGGTAGTTTGTACAAGATTCTCTCTAAGGTTCTGGTGCTTAGACTTAAGAAAGTTCTTCTTGAAATTATTGGTGAAACACAATCTGCTTTCTTGAGAGGGGGGGGAGAAGTGTCTTGGATGGAGTGTTTATTGCTAATGAAATTGTTGATGAATGGAAAAAATAAAGAAGAAAAGGTGTGATTATTAAACTTGATTTTGAGAAAGCCTATGATTCTATTAATTGGGAATTCTTGGTATCTATGCTTCATAATTTTGGGTTTGGTTCTAAGTGGGTTTCATGGATGAAGGAGTGTATCGCTACAACAAGGTTGTCGGTTCTAGTGAATGGCTCACCTACAGAGGAATTTTCACCACAGCGAGGTCTCAAACAAGGTGATTCCCTATCTCCTTTCCTTTTCAATATAGTGGCTGAAGGGTTGAATATTTTAATGAACAGAGCTTATGAGAAAGGTATTATCAATGGGGTAAAAATTGGAGGAAATGAGGTAGTGATTTCACATCTCTAATTTGCGGATGATTCCATAATTTTTTGTGAGGCAGATTTGGACCAAATAGTGCTCACAAAGCAGATACTAAGATGCTTTGAAATCCTTTCTAGCATGAGGATAAATTTCCATAAGAGTGTGGTATGTGGAGTTGGAGTGGAAGAGGAAATATTGGTGTCTTCTGTTGATATCTTGTATTGTAAGGTACATGGACTGCCACTTAAATTTTTGGGTTTGCCCTTGGGAGCTAATCCAGGGAGGAAATCTACTTGGAAGCCAGTTCTGGATACAATAAAGTCTAGGTTCACTGTGTGGAAGAGAAGGCTTCTTTCCTTTGCAAGTAGATTAACGTTGACTTGCCGATTTATTATTTGTATTTGTTTAGAATGCCTTGTAGAGTGGTTAGAGAGATTGAAAGGCTTGAAGCTTCTTTTCTTTGGGGTGGGAGTGATTTGAAGAGGAAGGTTCATTTGGTGAAATGGACTGAAGTTTCTAAAAGTCTGAATCAAGGTGGGTTGGGAATTAAAAGAATTAAGGATGTTAATGCAAGCTTACTTCTTAAATGGTGGTGGAAATTTGGAAGTGAAGTAAATGCTCTTCGGAGAAGAATGTTGTGCAGTAAGTATATGATTGAGGAGGGTCACTGGCTCCCACACTACAAGAAAATCTATTGTATAACACGGAGACTTTTGTGACGGGGCACCTGCCGTCGCAAAAAATGATTTTTTGCAATGCAGTACAGTTGTCGTCGCCAAAAAAGTATTTTTGCGACGGCGTTTATCTACTGTAGACGAAAATGGACTTTTGCGACGGGGTTTACCACCATCGCTAATGATTGCAAAAAGAAAAATGCAGGGGCATTTGCGACGCACGTATACCGTCGCAAAAAGTATTATTTAGCGACGGTAAAAAGTTACGGTCGCAAATGGTGGACCATTTGTGACGGCATAAGCCTGTCGCAAAAAAATTTTTGTAAAACGACGTCATTTTAATTTGTTAATCATGTATCATTT